AATTACTTAGCATAGGGTTGCAGGTTTTGACGGTACAGTCACTGGGGCCCTGGAGTTGTAGATAGAGATGGTTCGATCTTCGTGCTTGCTTGAGGCAAAATTAAAAGTATGTGTTTATTATAAGGGGCTGTTGGTAGGACAGAGGCACTTCTCAGCTGGTTTGGTGTTGTTTAAGGAAAGGAAAATGTGTAACTGTCCGAAGATACCAATTTGAGAGAGAAGAGCAGTCTTGAGTGCTGGGGCTGGGGCTTGTCCAGGGTATCTGAGGACCCAAGCTCTATCCCGGGCTCCACCAAAAAAATTTAAGAAAAGGAAAGTATGGTATGGTGGGAAAAGACACACAGTTCTGTGAGAAATTGAATTTTGGCGCGTTAAGGGGTTCAGTCCCTGAAATGTGATTACTTCTAAGTGGGGCATCTTTAGATGTCCAGCCACCTTGCTGCCTCCGGGGTTTCCCTGTCCAGCTGAAGCTGTGGACCAGTCCTGGGTGCGTCCTGCCTTAAAATCCCCAGTGAGCCATTCATCTGTGACTGGAATTTCATTTCAGGCTTTTGTGGATGTGGTGCTGGGCTTGGTCCCAGGGCCTGGCAAATGCTAGGCCACTGCTCAGCCACCAAGCTGTACCCCAGCCCTCAGATTAGAGTTTGAAACGCTAATATTAGCATGAGTTTTACACAACAGCTCATGTAGTACCTTTTTAAAAGTCAGTTCCTATAGATCTTTTAAAATCATTTAACTTACGGAAATCTTTGTTTTCAGTGACTGTTTTTAAATTATCAAAATTAAATTCACTTGTATAAAAAAGTATTCTCTTCCAAAAAAAAAAAAAAAAAAAGTATTCTCTTGGCCAGGCGTGTTGGTGTATGCCTGTGGGAGGCTGAGACAGGAAGATCACTGTGAGTTTGAGGCCAGCCTAAACTACATAGCAAGACCTTGTCTCCAAACAAACAAACAAAACCCAAATAAATGTTTTTAATCAGAATGTTTAATGTTGAAATTCTTTCATGTTGGAGATAAGCAGTCACTAATAATAAGACCAGCTACACTGATAGAAATAGTGAGTAAATAAATGGACAGTAAGACAGGAATGGATGCGGGAAACCAGTCAAGGGCAAGAGGGGAGATGGCAGTGAGTTAGTGGCGGTTAGTAACAGCTAGCAAGCCACTTCCTCAAGGCCCGACCTGCCGAGCCCTGTGCAAGCCCAGTCCTCTGACCCGCAGAGCCGGTGTGTGGGAAGGCTTATTAGCATCCTTGGGTTTCTGTGGAGGGGAGACCTGCGCCCACGACTGGAATAGAACACAAGGCAGCTGGATCGTGCCTGCAAATGCCCTGCACCTCTGTGCCCGCCCATCCCGCCCTGTCCCGGGCTATGTCCTTGTTATCTCTAGGAGTGACTTTTTCAGCCCCTCCCACCTGCCCTGCTTCCTTCCATGCTCTTCGCCCTCCTCACTGACTGTTCCTGCCACTTCCCTGCTCCTGATGCACCTCATCCTCCCTCTGGCCAGTGTGGCCCTGGCACGGACAGTGGGTCTGTTTATTGAGACTGAGGTTGAGAACCCAGGCATGGTGGCACACACCGGTAATCCCAGCGCTCCAGGGGCTGAGGCAGGAGGGTCGCTTCTAGTCAGGCTCTGGTAAGTTGCTAAACTGCTCAGGCGAGGATGAGACTTCCATCAGCCTCCCCGAGTGCTGGGATGGCAGGCTTGGGCCCCCACGCCCGGCCTTTTGTCCACGAGGGCACGCACCTCTGGAGGAAATTCAGTACCCCATTCACCATGCTGGATTCTTCCCCAGGCGCCAGCCACTCTGCTGTCCCCACTGCATCTCCATTGTCACCAGCTGGGCTCGGAGGGGAGCTTCCCGTTGCACCCAAGGTCTCCTGTGCTGGCATAATGTTCATGGGTGTTTACTTCCTTTTTACCTTTCTGAGGCTTACCCCTTTGCAGACTACTGGTTTTGCTCTGAAGCTTATTGATTTGCTCCAAAGTTTATTTTGAGATGATTTTCTGTTCATCTATCAGAATGCATTTGTATTCTGCTGGGTTCCAAACAAGAGGGTCCCCGTACAAGGGACAGGGCTCCCTGCAGTAATACAGAGCTCCTCGCATCCATGTGCCCTGCAAATCACCAGGGAGCTTTCAATGAGCAAAGACCAGGCTGACCCAGAGGGCGGTGTTTATAAATAGTACCCCAGGCCCCCTCCTTTACAGCTTCTCTCCCTAATCCTCCTCTCTCAAGACTGGAAATGGCTTGACCTTTGAGTCTTTAAAGGCAGGCTCCTTTTCTTGGAAAACTCTGCTCAGCAAAAGATGTTAAAACAAAATGTTTGGGCCAGGGGATATAGCTCAGTGGCACAAGCGCCTGCCTGGCAAGTGCAAGATCCCAAGTTTGAATCCCTGTACCAAAAAAAAAAAAGTTTTGATGGGTGTGGTGGGGCACACCTGTAATCACACAGGAGGCTGAGGCAGGGGGATCTCTAATTTGAAGCCAACCTGGGCTACACAGAAAAATTCTGTCGCAAAAAAAACCAAAAATGGCCCAAGTGTGGTGGCACACCTCCCAGCATTCGGGAGGCTGAGGCAGGAAGATTGCCATGAGTTCAAGGCCAGCCTGAACTACATAGCAAGCCCGTCTCCAAAACACACACACACACACACACACACCCCAACATGTTTTCAGTCAAATGATGGTCAATTGTCAAAGCCTGCCTTTCGTTCCTCATTTTCAGCCAAACGCTTCCTCTTTAGTACTAACTAGTCTCACTGTTACTGTTCTAAACACCTACCTTCAGAGTTGTACTCACTGATGGGCTATAATGGATTTGCATTTTTCTGATTTGTAAGGCTATTCCCAAATGGTTACCTCTCAACAATGAACTGCGCCTTCATTTCCTTTTCTCCTTTTACAGAGCTGGTGGTGGAACACGCGGCCTTGATTTTCATGCTAGGCCAGCGCTCCACCACTGAGCTGCAGTCCTGGCCCACAGCCTTTCCTACAATGACAGAATGAGGAGGGGCCTTACCAAGCCTCCACCCAATGCCCTGAAGTGGAGCTCTTTGTACTTGTCTAATTATGAGTGATGTATTGAGAACAGAATCATAAGTCTTACAAGGTTGTGGTGTTTTGTTTTGGTTTTTTGAGAAAGGCTCTTGCTGTATAGCTCAGGCTGGCCAAACTCACAGCAATCCTCCTGCCTCAGCCTCCCAAGTGCGGGGATTACAGGTGTGTACCACCATGCCCAGCTCCTATATTGTTTAATTTTAGGAAAACAGGGGGCCCCTGTGGCGCCACTGCCCACAGGCCATGCCTCCACTGCGCTGTGCAGGGTTCCTGCGCATGATCAAACGGGAAGCTATGCAGGGTCTCACAGTCTTTGGGGGCTGCCTAGAAGTTGAAGGACCAGGTATGCAGCTAAACCCTCACAGCAGGCGCTCGGCGTGTCCCTGTCACCCCAGTGCAGAGGGCTCTTCCCGCATCCTCGGTGACTGCAACTTCCCGACAGGGCCCTGCAGCTTCAGCCTCGGCCTTTTGCTCCCTGCCCCTGCCTCCCCACTGCATCAATGCCAAGACGCTCTCCCCCCAGCTGCTATGGTACAGACCCTCCCGGGCCTCCCAGGAGGAGAGGCAGGTGCTGCTGGGAAGAGGGTTAGCACCGGTCACCTGCATCACCCCTATCTCGCTAGCGTTAACCTTACAGACTTTATCCCCCTTTCACAGATATTGTCTCCATGCTTGGATAACGCTTTTTCTTTCATTGTTTGCCGTTTCTTCTTTTCAGTACTGGGGAGTAAACCCAGCACCTTCACACTGAGCTACGTTTCCTAAATTTCCAACTCTTTTCTTCTTTTTTTTTAAGACAAGGGCTCTCTGTGTACTTCAGGCTGGGCTTGAACTCTCTATGTAGGCAGGCCAGTCTTAAATTCATGGTGATCCTCCTGCTTCAGCCTCCCAAGTGCTGGGATGCAGGCGTGCACCATCACACCCGGCTTCCAACTGTTTATTTTTTATTTTAAAACAGGGCTTGCTCAGTTGTCCAGGCTGGGCTTGAACTTGGCATCTTGCTTGCCTCCCAGAGTACTGGGATTACAGACATGCACCACCACGCCTGGCTGCTTCTTCCTTCAGCTATCTTCTGGATTCTCCTACATTTTCTTAATCTGCTTTGAAAGAGCAGTTTGGCAGACTAAGCAAAAAGTAAGTAAGAGTTAGGTGAGCATCGTGGCACATACCCGTGATCACAGCTACTTGGGAAGTTGAGGCAGGAGGATCACAAGTTAGAGCCCAGCGTGGGCAATTTAGTGACACCTTGCCTCATAATAAAAAAATGTTAAGCCAGATATGGCACAGACCTATAATCCTAGCACTTGGGAGGCCGAGGCTGATCACAAGTATGAGGCCAGCCTGGGCTCAGGGCCAGCCTAGTTACTTAGTGAGACCCTGTCTCACAAATAAATACATACATAAATAAAATTTTAAAATAAAAATAAATTTTAAAAATCTTTAGCCCTTGGGGCATAATGGAGCATGCCTGTAATTCCAGCACTTGGGAGGCTGAAGCCAGGAGGATAGTGGCAAGTTTAAGACCAACCTGGGCTACATAGTGAGTTCAAAACCAGCCTGTGCTACATAGCAAAACCCTGTCTCACAAAAACAAAAAATAAGCCAGGCATGGTGGCATACACCTGTAATCCCAGCACTCGGGAGGCTGAGGCGGGAGGACCACTTCGAGTTGAGGCCAGCTTGGGCTAAAGTGAGTTCAAGGACAGCCTGAACAGCATAGTGAAACCCTGTCTCAGGAAAAAACAAAAAAAAACACAAAGGCCTAGAGACCATAGCTGGGTGGGAGAGGACCTCGAATGCATGAGACCCTGAGTTGGTCATCTCTCCAATATCACTGGAAAAAAAAGCATGTGAGAGTCAGGAGAGCTATTCTGAGACCCCGGAGTACAGACTAGGAGCTGCTTCCACAGCCTTCTCTTTCCTTAATCCCGCTGATCAGCAATTGGATGAACCTTCGGGACGCTGAGACAGGGAAGATTCTCTGGCAGGGAACCGAAGACCTGTCCGTCCCTGGCGTGGAGCATGAAGGTACTTTCTGGCTCTCTGCGCCGGGGCTGGGACCAGTGCCAGAGCAGGTCCTGGGCCCGGGGCTGAGTCAGGGCCACCAAAGGGGCAGGTGGCTTCAGGTAGCAGACACAAGTCGGCCACTGCTGCTGCTGTGGTCAGGCCCTTACATTTCTTCCTCTCACGCTGAAAACCCATCTCAGCTTTCGCACATGGCCAGGCATGCAAACCAACATCTCTGCTTTTAGCCCAAAAGAAAATGTGCACTTTTGTCTCCCTGCAGTGAAAGCCCTGTGGCTGAGACAAGCAGGCGGGAGGGCAAGGGGGCTGGTGCTGAGGAGAGGGCCAGGCCAGCGCGGGCTGGGAGAGCCCTCGGACGGCTGCCCAGGGTCAGCTGAAATGTAACCTGCAGAACGAGGTTCCGTGTCTTTTTCTCATCAGCCCGTGTTCCCAAGAAAATCCTCAAGTGCAAAGCAGTGTCTCGAGAGCTGAACTTCTCTTCAGCGGAGCAGATGGAGAAGTTCCGCCTGGAACAAAAGGTTTACTTCAAAGGCCAGTGCCTAGAAGGTACTCACCACCCTCCCGGAGCAGCTCTGCAGGACGGGAAGGCGGAGCGGGGCTTGCAAAGCAGTCATTTCACAGCTCGGCTTGTCACAGCCTGAGAACCCCGGGGAAAACAAAGTAAGGCAAGGCGTGGGTCCCTGGCTGGTGACCTACCGGCACCCATGCAGCTCTGCGGTGTGGCCAGGGCCTAGCCCAGGGCTCCACAGACAGTCACAGGACTCGAGCGACCAGGGCACTGAGAGTCCCACGAAAAGGCCGCCGGTCCTGTGTGAGCCCCGTGCAGGCTGCCGCTGAGGAGCTGCTGTGCACCCGCAGCCCTCGGCTGCCCCTCCCCTGGGTGCCTCTGCTCTGAGCTCCGAGGGCGCCTTCGGTGGTGCTGGTGTAGGACGAGGAAGGGGACAAAGAGCCCTTACACTTCAGACAGGGCGTCCGCCCGCTCACCTAGCCGTTCCTGTCTCCTTCAGAGTGGTTCTTCGAGTTTGGCTTTGTGATCCCCAACTCCACAAACACCTGGCAGTCCTTGATAGAGGCCGCCCCCGAGTCCCAGATGATGCCTGCCAGCGTCCTCACGTGAGTGCCAGGCCTCGCCACAGTGCTGCGGTGGCCACAGGGTCGGGCAGGGTGGACAGCGAGGCGAGAGTGTGGGCGAGGGGCGGCCAGGTGCCCTCGGTTACACCGCCGGGCTTCTGCCTGCAAAAAACAACGCTGGGCAGGGCAGAAAGAATCAGAGATGAGACCAGACTCCTGACTCACCCACCCGCTGGCATCCTGACCACCCACCCCAGTCTGAGGCTTTCCCCATGGGCAGAGAATCACTCTCTTCATGGAGAAGCCCCGCTGGACCATGGGGGACAGGCTCCTGCCCGCCCTCACTTGGCACCTCCAGGCTTTCCTGTGTCACCATAACACAACCTGCCAGTCCTGACGCTGACCTGGAGGATAACACTTGCTTACACATTTTCAGGGGCTCACTTACAATGTTATAGGCTTCCAGCTCAGAAAATAATTTGTCCTATGTCCAAACACACTATCAGCAACTTACCATTTTCTCTTGGGAAAAGATATTAGTGTTTCAGCCAGGCGTGGTGGTGCACGCCTGTAATCCCAGCAACTGGGAGGCTGAGGCAGGAGGACCTCCAAGAGTTCAAGGCTAGCCTGGGCTACAAAGTGAGTTCAATCCAGCCTGAACTGCATAGCCAAACCCTATCTCAAAAAGACAAAAAAAAATTTTGCAGGAGAGGGTAGCTCAGTGGTAGAGCTTTCCTGGCATGCACAAGGCCTTGGATTCCATCCCCAAAACTGCAAAACATAATAATTTATGGGGTGCAGTGGTGCATACCTGTGCTCCCAACACTCAGGAGGCTGAGGCAGGAGGATCACCATGAGTTTAGGGCAGCCTAGGCTACACAGTGAGTTCAAGATCAGGCTAAATGAACTACATATGAACAACAACAGTAAAAGTTTTAGGTACCCTAACCCTAAGTGCAGCCTAGAGAATCAGTCTCCCACCAAACAAAAAAGAATTAGTCCCACAGATTAATAGAGGGGAAAACAGAAGGAATATTTGATCAGAGAAAGAGTTTTTAAAGTTTAAAAGGAGGGGTCAGGATATAGCTCAGCGGCATAGGGCCTTGCTTGGCAAGCGCAAGGTCTTGAGTTTGATTCCTCTAAAATGATACACCTGTAATACCAGCACTCGAGAGGCGGAGGCAGGAGGATTACCATGAATTCTAGGCTCCATGGTGGGTTCAAAGCCAGCCTGAACTATGTAGGAAGACCCTTCCCCCACCAAAAAAAAGGCTAAAAAGACAATTGGCTAAAGATTATTATATAACATCAAATCACCTCCTTCCATGGTCCTTTATGAAATCCACATCAAATATGTAAATAGATTATTTACTTTTTACTTTTTAATTTTTTTCCTTTTTCTTTTTCTTTTTTTTTGTCTTTTTGAGACAGGGTTGCACTATGCAGTTCAGGCTGGCCTTGAGCTCACTTCGTAGCCCAGGTTGGCCTTGAACTCGCAATGATCCCCTTGCCTCAGCCTCTCGAGTGCTGGGATTACAGGCGTGCACCACCATGCCCGGCTAATAGTTTTTTTTCTTTAATAGAGTTTTCATCACAATGAAAGGAGACCTGGGCTGGTGGCTGGGAAGATGCTTCTGATAGCCCGCCCCCTGCTGTGGCCAACCTGGGTGGGGACACACAGGCTCTGGTGGTTTGAGGGGGACAGAGCACAGCTACCAGAGTCGAGCGGCCAGTCGGTGCTGAGGGGACAACATGGTCCCCTCCCTGGGTGGCCACAAGGCTTTGTGCAGCGCTCGCTGGTGGCAGGGTTGGAGTGAGGACGGCCTGGAGCCCTTCTGCACCAGGGTGTTTGTTACTGGCCTGGAGCTGAGTTCTGGGTGTCGCCGGTTGGTCCGGCCCGGGGACGCAGAGACGCCCGCTCACGTGCTGTCCCCGGCCTCTCTCCTGTCCCCTCTCGCAGCGGGAACGTTATCATAGAAACGAAGTTTTTTGACGACGACCTTCTCGTAAGCACATCCAGAGTGAGACTTTTCTATGTCTGAGCAAAGGACGCGCGTGGCTTCGGAGCGGGGCCCGTGGGAGGAGGCTGTGCCTTTTCCTCGCATCGCCCGCCCCCCTCAGCGACCGGGACCAGCCAGCCCTGCAGGTAACCGGGTGGTTCCTCCCGGCCGACCGCCCAGGCAGCGAGGGCGTGGCCCTGCTGCTCGCTGCCACCGCCCCGTCCCCTGCCTCGGCCCCTCCACCTGAGGCTTCCTTCGGCCCTGGGTTTTGGGAAAGATTCACGTTTCTGCCCCGTGTTTAGCTTTTTCCTACCATTTCTATTTCGTACATTCTCATACATTTAACTTGTACAATAGACTGTGATATTATTGTTTCATAATGTAATTAAAACATGAATTAAAGAGCGCCGTGTCTGCACATGCACTGCTTCCGCCCCCCGTCCAGCAGTGCCGCTGCCCTCGCGTGGGCAGGAGGGGACTGAGCAGCTCGCGGGGCTGGGGCTCCAGAAGCCAACTCGGCCCCCTGTCCCTCTGTCTCCGTGTCCCCAGCGCTCAGCTGCGCCTCCCCGAATGCCATCTGGAGCCAGAAATGGGGGCACACGGCCCAGGGGCTGCAGCAGGCATCACATCCCCAGTGCTTTCGGGTCTGATGCGAGAGGGAAAGGCAGGACTCACCTCTCAGTGCCGTCGGCTCTAGAGCCTTCATAAATGCCAACCCTTAAAAGTTTCCTGAGAGCCCAGCATGGTGGCACACACCCATGATACCAGCACTCAGGAGGCTGAGGCAGGAAGATCTCAAGTGGGAGGCCAGCCTGTGCTACAGAGTCCCTGTCTCCAAAAAGTTTTCTGGTAACCAGAGCAGCAACTGTGAGGCCAGAGGCCAGGACGCGCCCTGGAGAGGGCAGTCTCTCTGGTGTGGCCCCTGCCCCAAGTTCCTGCTCTCCGTCCGGAACCTGGCTTTGAGTGTGAAGAGAAAATGTGGACGAGGCTGTGTTTGTGTGCGTACACCATCCTTCAGAGATGCTTCTGTCCCTCGTGCTGCATCACTGTCTTCAAAAGCTCTTTTCTTTTGTTTTGTTTTTTTGAGACAGTGTCTCACTGTGTCATCCAAGCTGGCCCTGAACTCACTATGTAGCCCAGGCTGACCTGGAACTCACAATCCTCCTGCCTCAGCCTCCCCCATGCTAGGGTTACAGGCATGCTCCCCAAATCTGGCCAGGTGTCTTGTGGTGTGGTGGCACATGCCTGTAATCCCAGCACTGGAGGATGAGGCAGAAGGATCATCGTGAGTTCGAGACCAGCCTGGGCTACATAATGAGTTCAAGGCCAGCCTGAACTGCGTACCAAGACCCTGTCTCAAAAAGAAAAAACAAGCCAGGCATGGCGGCACACGCCTGTAATCCCAGCACTCTGGCAGCTGAGGCAGGAGGATCATTGCAACTTTGAGACCAGCCTGGGCTACAAAGTGAGTTCAAGGCCAGCCTGAACTGTGTAGTGAGACCCTGTCAAAAAAAAAAAAAAAAAAAAAAAAAAAATTATTGTCACAAAAGACACATTGCCATTAATCTCCTTCAAAATACTCATTGCTTTGAACACACTCAGCCCATCATTCCCACGGCTCTGAAGCAGTCGTGGAAGTGCTCTTTTCGGAAGTGTCTTTAGAAGGTGTGATCAAAATGAGGGTGAAGGCTGGAGCTGAGTGCCATTCAAAGGAAAGGCAAGAGCCGGGCGTGGTGGCGCACGCCTGTAATCCTAGCACCGGAGAGGCTGAGGCAGGAGAATCATTTAGAGTTTGAGACCAGCCTGGGCTACAAAAATGAGCTCAAGGCCAGCCTGAACTGCATAGTGCAACCCTGTCTCAAAAAGACAAAAAAAAAAAAAAGCAAAAGAAAGTCAGGTAGAGGTGCACACTTGTATTCCCAGCACCCTGGGAGGTTGAGGCAGGATGATCACAAGTTGTAGCCCAGCCTGAGCAACTTAGTGACTTAGCAAAAACCCTGTGGTCAAAATAAAAAACAAGAGCTGTAGATACCTCATCTGAAAACTTGGGGTTCAGTTCTCAGCACAAAAAAGTGAGTCAAACTTTCCTTTTGCTTCCTTAAAACACCATGTCCTTTCTCGGAGCGGACACAGCTCCTTCCTTCTTGGAACCATCCATGTCTTCGCCCCAGACCCCTCGGGGACGGCGGGCGCCTGCACGTGTTTTAACGGAGGAAGAAAGCTCCTAGAGCGTACTGTGTGCCTCCTCCCCGCCAGGTTGTTCTCTGGCTGCTGGGGAGAAATCGCGCAGCCTCGGGTTCTGATGTCTCTCCCATCCTTGAGCATTGGCACCTTGCGGCTGGGAGAGGGAGGAGCCAGCAAGGAGCCAGCTGTAGAACCCTGCGCAAGTGGGGGGCACCGCGGCTGCTGGGGCTCCCAGCCGTGCAGGGGTGTGAGCAGGCGTGCAGCATGCCCAAGGCTCTAAGTTGATCCCTACCCAGCACAGCAAAAAATCATTTTTAAAAAAGCCCAGCTTTGTGGCACACGTGTATAATCCATAGACTCACTTACTTATTTAATTTTGAGACGGGGTCCAGTTGCCCAAGCTGGCTACTCAAACTTGTGATTCTCCTGCCTCAGCCTCCCACAGTGCTGGGCCCATCGGTGTGTGCCACCTCTCCTGGCTTCACTCACACCTGTTTCCTGAGCACTTTTTAATATAGCGAGCACCACGCAGGGAAGAGACTGGCTGCCCACCGCCCGGGCGCACTCTGCTGGGACGGGACAGAGCGGAGGAGGACAGGGCAGGAGCAGGGGCCCGGGAGGGCAGAGCCCCAGGGAAGCCCGGCTTCCAGGATGGGGACAGTGTGGCCTCCACCTACCTGGCCCTGTGCCCACTCAGGACGGCCACTGCGCCCCACCGTCCCCTGCCATGGGCGGAAGGTAGGGAGTGGCCAGGGCCAGCCTAGCAGCCCACGCAGGTGGTTCCTAGGCCTTCGAGCCGGTGAGCTGGCGGCTGTCGCCCAGCTTCAGGCCCCAGCCAGGTGAGGCAGGAGTGAAGACCGCACTGGCTCCCACCGCAGCTGCAAGGGGCCCAGGAGCACTGGGCCAGGAGACTCAGCTGCTGGTCGCTGTCGGTTCCCAAACTGTTCACGCCACTTACCGGAGGTGCCGGGGCCTCCTTCGTTTTCAAAGGAAGCAGCATCTGTTCGGTTAACTGGAAGTGGCCGCGTCCCAGCAGCGGCCGCTCAACGCGTTGCTCCAGGAAGCACCTGGGGAAATCAGGCCCCCGACGTCTCAGGGACAGAGAGGGAGGGGCCCGAGAGAAGGGTGCGTGCATTAGAAGTGGGCGTGGCCGTCCGACCCATCCCAAGGGCCCATTGCTGCGCTCGCTCGCTCGCGGGTGGCATTCCGTTGCCACTCACGGGGTTTAAAAATGAAATGAGTGCCAGATGGGTTGGCACAAGCCTGAAGTCTCAGTACTCGGGAGGCTGAGGCAGGAGGATTGCCGTGAATTGAAAGCCAGCCTGACTACACAGCGAAACCTTGTCTCAAGAAAAAGAAAAAAAAAAGGAAGAGAGAGAGAAGAAAGAAAAGAGAAGAAAAAAGAAAAGAAAAGAAAAAAGAAAAGAAAAGAATTCGGATGAAAACACCTGACAAGTTGTTTGGACCACTTGCTTAGGAGCGAAGCTAAGCGTTCTCCGGCCGGGCTGCGCTGCGAAAACTCCCTGAGCTTCTAGGCTTGCTGTGAGCACAGAGAGCTGGGGCCTGTGGAGTGTGGTAGTTGTCAGATTCACCTGTGTGAGGCTCGGACACAACGTCACCGCCCCCCATAGCCAGAGCCACCACCCACTTCCGGCCTGCACTGGGCTCGGGCTCCGGGGTCACCCTCGCATTCCTGCGCCTGCGCGGAGATGAGTTCAGAGGGAAGGGCGACGCCTGCAGGCTGCGAGAGGCTCCGTAAGCGGCGTGACTTACTGAAGCTGTCCCCTGAGCAGCTCTTCTCCATTAGGGGAAGATAAGCCCAATCATTGCCAGTTGTATGTTTAACATAGATTATAACTGTTACTTTCTTTTTTGTCTAAGTTATAGTACACAGTGTTATCTGAATTTTTTTTATCTTTTTGAGACAGGGTCTCACTATGCAGTTCAGGCTGGCCTTGAGCTCACTTTGTAGCCCAGGCTGGTCTCGAACTCACAGTGATCCTCCTGCCTCAGCCTCCTGAATGCTGGGATTACAGGTGTACACTGCCACATCCGTCCTTGATTTTTTATTTATTTATTTACTATCTGAATTATTTTATCGAACACAGGGCATCCCGTGTAATCAAACTGTAGATGATTAGTCTGCCTCCTTACAGAATTTAAGGTTGCATTTTACTGTTCATGGTAATATGGACTGGAGAATGCTTTTCGTTTTCTTTCTTTTCAGTCCTGGGTGAGGAACACGGCACCTGCACTGAGCTGCATCCCTAGCCATTTCTTTATTTTTTATTTTGAGACAGGGTCTCTCGAAGTCATTAAGTTACCCATGCTGGGAATTTGGGATCTTCCTGTCTCAGCCTCTCAGAGTGCTAAGATTATAGGCATGTACCACAAGTGCCCTGCTCATTTCCTTTCTTTTATAGTGCTTCTTTGGCCAGGCATATTATATACTTGGGGTCTACTCCTTAATTAACCTTAGAATCCTAATAATCTAGCCAAGTGTAGTGGGACACACCAGTATTCCCAGCACTCTGGGAAGCTACAGCAGGGAGATTATAAGTTCAAACCCAGGCTGGGCAATTTAGCAAGACTCAAAATTTGAAAAGGAATATGATAGGTGTGGTGGCACACACCTGTCATCTCACCACTAGGAAGGCTGAGGCAGGAGAATCACTGTGAGTTCAAGGCCAGCCTAGGCTACATAGCGAGAGCCTGTCTTGAAAGGAAAGGAATCCAGATTTCTTCCATCAGATGACTACCAGTTGGGGAGGGCATTGCTGAAGACTGAACTTCATATCAGACATGCTATGTATGTTCTTGTATTTAGCAGCAATCTCCAGCTGGGTGTGGTGGCGCACACCTGTAACCCCAGCACTCGGGAGGCTGAGGCAGGAGGGTCATTGCAAGTTCACGACCAGCCTGGAGCTCAAGGCCAGCCTGAACTGCATAGCAAGACCCTGTCTCGGCCAGGGATATAGCTCAGTGGCACAAATGCCTGCCTGGCAAGCACAGGGTCCTGAGTTCAATTCCCGGTGCAAAAAAAAAAAAAAATCCCAATTCATTTGGTAAAATTAGGTCAAAGTTATAGCCAGTTTTTCTACGATGATTCTAAAAAAATAAAGGTGGACTTACTTAAGAATAGACATTTTACTAGACACCATGGCACAAACCTGTACTTCCAGCTACTCTGGAGGCTGAGGCAGGAGGATTGCTTGAGCCCAGGAGCCCAAAACAAGCCTGGACAACATAGTGAGACCACCCTCCATGCCAAAAAAGATGATGGGTGTGGTGGTGCACACCTGTAACCCCAGCATTTGGGAGGCTGAGGCAGGAGGATCATGGCAAGTTCAAAGCTATATAGTGAGACCCTGTCTCCAAAAAGAAAGATATTTTATGATACTGAAATAGTTTTATGATTATAGTGATCTTCAAGCATTTCTGAGCTACAAAGGTCAGGTGGCACTGAATTCAACAGCCACAGTTTCTATGGAGGACAAACACACTCCACGGCAGCAACCCCCAGCCCTTCCCAGAAGCCCGTTGTTAAATCACCTCTTGGCCTCACAGCCAGCTCACACTGGAAAATTTGGTTTGTTTATTTTCTTAGCCCTGGGGGACAGCCCAGGGGTGCTGCACCACTGAGATACAACCCTGGCCTTTTGCAGTCTTTATTTTGAGACGGGGGTCTCACCAAGTGGTCCAGCTGGGATTCAAACTTGCAATCCTCCTGCCTCAACCTTTCAGATCAAATCCTGGGATTACAGGCAGGGCTTCCAACTGCTGAAATGTCAAGTTTCTTTGTGGTTCGGGTAGGGCCTGAGCAGTCCCCACCAGTCCCCACTGCCCCCTCCACCGCCCACCGCGTGCCTTCTGTCCCCCCCACCACACTCCCAGCTCCTGCCCCCATGTGGTCTCAAGGTTTATGTCCCTCCCAAATTCGTGTTAAAACCCTAATCCCTAAGGCGACAGTGTCAGGATGCTGGGTGCTCCTTCCGGGGAAGACACAGCAGCAAGGTAATCGAGGAGCTGTCACCAGAGCCTGGAGGACCTTGATCTTGAGCTTCCAGCTGGATCTGTAGAACAAACGCCCTTGCTCAAAGCCACCCAGTGATGGCGCAGGGACACAGCCTTTGTCCCACCCCACAGCATCCTCTCCACCATATTGTCCCCTAGCTCCAAAACCCCTCGAACTCACCCATCCCTGCTGTCCTGTGCCACACGCTAGGCTCAGAGAACACAGAACAGCAGTCACCATGCTTCACAGTAGCTGTGACACTGACAGAATAAGGCCAGCAGACTGCACTTACAGGCTGGGACATTCACCCTCACTGGACCCAAACCCAGACCTCTCAGAACAAATTCCCTTTTTAAGTTGTTTATTGTTTGAGACAGTCATAGTCCAAGCTGGCTGGGAACTCACAGAGATTCTCCTGCCTCAGCCTCCTGAGTGCTAGGACTATAGGCTTACAACACCACCACACCGGTGTTATTGTTACTTTTTTCATAAACCAGTTTTCAATCAAAAGAGTCCAAAGGGACACACAGATTGCTATCTTACTTTTTTTTTTTTTTTTTGTACTGGGAATTGAACTCAGGACCTTGCACTTGCCAGGCAGGCACTTGTGCCACTGAGCTATATCCCCGGCTATCTTGCTTTTTTTAATTCTTTGCTTGTTTGCTTGTTTTTGACTTCCTTCTCTCCCACCCTTTCTTCCCTTCTCTTTTTTTTGTTTTCCTTGATGAAGTCCATATGCTCATTGAAAATTTTAGAAAACAGCCTGACATGGTGACACATGCCTATAGTCTCAGCTACTTAGGAGAGGCTGAGGCAGGAGGATGGCTTAAACCCACAAGTTCAAGATCAAGCTGGGTAAAAAATGAGATCCATTAAAAAACAAACAAACAAACAAAAAAAACTGACCCTTAAAGAAGAAAGTTCAGGCCAGGGAGAGAGCTCAGTGCCATAGCGCCTGCCTGGCAAGCGCAAAGTCCTGAGTTCAATTCCTGTTGTCAAAAACAAAACAAAACAGGGCTGGGGATTTAGCTCAGTGGCAAAGCGCCTGCCTGGCAAGCGCAAAGTCCTGAGTTCAATTCCTGTTGTCAAAAACAAAACAAAACAGGGCTGGGGATTTAGCTCAGTGGCAAAGCGCCTGCCTGGCAAGCGCAAGGTCGTGAGTTCGGTTCCCGGTACCAGAGAAAAAACAAAAAAAAAGAAAAGAAAAGTTATAATTCTATCACCGAGAGGTGACAGCATGGTGGATGGAACTGTTGAATTCTTTTTTTTTTTTTTTTTTTTTTTTTTTTTGAGACAGAGTCTCACTATGCAGTTCAGGCTGGCCTTGAGCTCACTTTGTAGCCCAGGCTGGTCTCAAACTCACAATGATCCTCCTGCCTCACCCACCCGAGTGCTGGGATTACAGGCGTGCGCCACCATGCCTAGCCTGTTGAATTCTTGATTTTTCTGTATTCTTTATGATCAGATTCATTCCACACACAATTCTTTTGTGTTTTTGAGACAGGGTCTCACCAAATTGCCCAGGTGGACAATTGCAGGAACATCACTGCAAGTTTGAGGCCAGCCTGAGCAACAGAGTGAGACCCTGTCTCAAAGAAACCAAAAAACAAAACAAAAAAACACAAATAGATGAAAGAAAGAAAGAAAACTTGCAGCAAAAGAGCTACTTCTAGAGACAGTGCTAGGCAAGGGCTTGAGGCCGAAAGATGGGGCTGGATGCTTCCCTGTATGTAAAGATAATCTTCAAAGTTTTCCATGGGCCAGGGATGTAGCTCAGAGGCACAGCGCCTGCCTGGCAAGCACAAGGTCCTGAGTTTGATTCCCGGTACCAAACACAAAGTTGTCTGTGACCCTGGTTGTACCCACTGAGCCCCCAGTTGTCCCCCCTGCTTCCTGCGGAGAGCAGCCGGACAGCTGGCTCCAGAACCTTCCTCAGGGGTCCTGGCTGGCTCCCTAGGGTGCGGCTTGGCAGTGGAATCACTAGCTCCAAAGTAAGTGTACAGAGTTCTTGGATCTTCCTAGATGCTCAAATGGTTTCCAGAAAGATTCCTAGTCTTTTTTTTTTTTTTTTTTTTTTTTTTTGTACAGGGAATCGAACTCATGACCTTGTGCTTGCTAGGCAGGCGCTGTGCCGCTGAGCTACATCCCTGGCCCAGGATTCCTAGTCTTTACCACTTGCCGTCCCCTCACCTGTGGTACCAGGGACCTCCTTAGCCAAGGGCAGCCGCCTCGGGAACCCCCATGATAGGAACTGGCCCAGAGAGGAGTCCCCATCTGTTTAGACCGGTAAATTCGCCTGAGCCTTGCTGGGGGTCTGTGCAGTGCAAGATCAGCTCTTTGTGAACACCAGGGTCCTTCCTGATTTAACAGGCTCTACTGAAAAAAACACAGGTCACGTAAATTCTGAGAGGGCAGTGCGTTAAACCTTCCTCTGGGTGGCTCAGCGCCCCGTCTGTCCAAGGCCCAGTGAATCCTGCAGAAAGAACCGTGTCATAAACTGGGAGGTGTGGCACACCCCTGTAATCCCAGCACTTGGGATGCTGAGGGAGGAGGAGTGCAGTGAGTTTGAAACCAGCCTGAGCTACATAGTGAGTTTAAGGCAGTCTGAACTATGTAGCAAGATCCTGTCTCAGAGAGAGAGAGGAAGGAAGGAGGGAGGGAGGGAGAGAGAGAGAGAGAGGGAAAGAAAGGAAGGAAGAAAAAAAGAAAGAAAATCCTTGTGCAGTCACCTAGCAAGAGGACAGTCCCACCTCCTGCTCCTCAGGCAGGGCTTGGACAGAGGCTCCAGGCTGCCTGACGGAGGTGGGGTCTCAGCCCATCTGCGGCAGCCTCCAAGCACAGAGCGGTTCAGACAGGAACGCCACGGGCTGCTGCGGCCTGGAGACAGGACAGAGGGAGGTGGCTGCCCTGGGCCCGCGCCCACTGGCAGGCAGTCCCAGGCAGGACTCTGCCACCAGGTCCCTGCTGTGCGCCTCCTGATTGGGAAACCACAGCCAGAAAGGGGCCCCATGCCCAGTCCTCACCGTGCCGCTGTTGGAGCCCTGAATTCCCCCTCTTCTTACTAGGGGGGACCCTTTCAGTTACAGGCAACAGAAAACCCACTCGGAACCGGACTGCTAGGACTGGATGGCTGAGAAGCCCAGAGATCCACCCAGCTTCGGGCTCAGTGGGACTCAGGACTGAGTGACACCAGAACTTGAGGTTCCTCTTCCTCTAGCTCAGCTCTGCTCTTCTTGGAGTGACCTGCAGCCTTGGCTTCTTGGTCTCTTTGGTTTTTATTTACTTATTTATTTATTTTTAATTTTTTTGTCTTTTGAGACACTATGTGGTTCAAGCTGGCCTTGAACTCATTTTGTAGCCCAGGCCAGCCTCAGACTCACAGCGATCCTCCTGCCTCAGCCTCCAGAGTGCTGGGATGACAGGCATGGGCCACCACACCTGGTTTTAGCATTTCAGTCTTTTAAAATTAAGTCCCCAAGGGGGGGGGGGGGAACCCAACATTTAAGCAAGGGATGTAGCTAGAGTGGTAGAACACTTTCCTAGCATGCATGAGGCCCTGGGTTCAATCCCCAGCACCAATAGAAAAAGACAGAGCTAGCGTCCTTCATCCTTCCCAGCGTGGATCCAGGGACTCACCCTGATTGGATGACTGTAGTCAGGTGCTACCTCAGCCAATCAGAGTGGCCAGGGCCCTCCAGGCGCTGATTGGCCAGAGCCCAGTCACAGGTTCCAGTGCTGGAGAGCGCAAGCAGGGAACTTCTGGTAGAGGGAAGCTGGACAGTGCTTCTGGTGACCGTTCCCAAGACGACAGCGAGGGATGGCAGTTGGTGGCAAACACAGCAGATGTCCCCTGTGCCTTCCTGCTGATTGCTGTAGGCATCTGCTCAGGCCCGAGAGTCTGAGGGCTGCGCCCTGCACGCGGCATTAAGATGGGGCTGTCGCAGGTGACCACCTGGCTCTCTCGTCACCATGGGCAGCAGCGCTGGCGGCGAAGTCTCGGGAGAGGAGGGCCACCAGGGACAGCTGTGCGCGCACCTGTGTCTTGGCCTGGGCTGCTGGGCAGCAGTGTGGGGGTGTCGCGAGGCAGCTGTCCTCAGGAGACCACGGAGTGGCCGGGACTGAGGCGCAGCCGGGCCCACAGCCAGGACTCTGGCATCGGCCCGCGGGGCCCCGGAGCAGCAGGCTGGGGGACTCTGTCCCCAGCGAGGAGGATGTGCGGAGTCCGGAGCCACGGCCCATCTGTCCCCAGGGGCTGCTCTCGGGAGGCCCTGGGATCTGCCACGCCCGGGGCGTCTGAACACGGCCACGGTGCCATGCTCTGGGGACCCAGCGACCGGAAGCCAGGCTGACCCCTGATCCCGCGGAGGCACCCCGGAGACCGCTCTGGCCCTGGAATGGAACCTGGCTGTCCTGAGGGAAGGCACGGGGACGACGCTCTCGTGTCTGGCCCGCGTTGGCGCGGAGAGGAAGGGCTGGTGGCCGAGGAGAGCAGAGGGCCCACGAAACGACTATTTCCAGGACTGCAGCGGACCGCGGCGCCCTCCTAGGCCACCAGAGGGCGCCCGTCCCCTGCTAATCCTCCAACCTGGGGCGGCCCTGGCCTGGCCAAGGGAGGAGACGTGGGGAGTGGGAGATCAAGGTCGCCGGGAACCACTGGCAGGTTCCCAGGCCGTGTGCTACGCTCCGGACTAGGGCACAGTGTGTTCTGGGAGCGGCCAGGGCAGTTCCAGGCCAAACCTCTGCTGCGGCGAGGGGTGGCCGCTGGAACCGCTGGTCAAGGGAGACTGGGAAGGCAGCCAGGCAGACTTGCGGCCCACACGATTGTCCCCATTTTGCAGAAGAGGCGCTTGAGGCCCCCATTAACGTAGCTGTGGCCGAGCTCCGACCGTCCTTCCTGGGGTGCCGGATAAGACTTGCTGCTCCCTCTCCTAAGGTCCCCTCAATGCCCTCTCGCCAGGGAAGCCCTCCTTAGTTACCATACGTTCCCCTGTCCATGGCCCGCGAAGTGTGCAGTGTATGTAAGCACCAAGGTGGCTGAACACTATGGAACTGTAAATAAATATCCTGGGGTTTTCTGTTTTTGTTTTTTGTGGGTGCTGGGGATTGAAATTAGGGCCTCGGCCTCTTTATTTTTGGAGGCAGGGTCTTGCCCAGGACCCTCCTGCCTCAGCCTGGAGTACAGGACCTGGCATTACAAGCCTGCCCTAGCTCCAGGCCCCTCCCGGGACCGTGGGTGTCTGGAGAGGACTCTAGTGCAGTGGGTGGGGCCTCAGGACGAGGACAGGGGCAGAGGGGGGTGGTAGCCACTGTGAGCAGGAAGCTGGAGGGCTAGGCGGTTTCTCATGATAGCCGTGTCCCCGACCTCCCACGCGAATGCACCGAAAGGTGCGGGTGACCCTGCGTGGCCAGCATACGGACACTCCACACCACGGTCCCTCTGAGGGGCGGCAGCGGCCCCATCTCCGCTGCCGCCTGGGAGCCCCATCATCCCCTGCCACTTCCCATGGCCGGGTGCGGGAAACTGCGGGACTTCCAACAGGGGCCCGCCCCAGGGCCCGCGCTACCGCCAGAGGGCACCGCTAGGTGGCGCAAAGCTCCTGCCCCATGGGCTCCTGCTCATGGGTGCGCCCCATTCCGCCCAACCTACATCTCCAGAGCCCACGCACGGCACTGCCAAGTTTTCAAACGGGGAAGGTGCTTGGGACCATCGGCAGGAGCCGAACTGGAGAGCAGCCCCCACTTCCCCGGCCCCCAACCTGGGTGGCCAGCAGCACAGCCAGGTGTGGAGGCACACACCTATAATCCCACCACTCAGGAGGCTGAGACAGGTGGACTGCAAGCGTTGGAGGCCAGCCTAGAGACTGTCTCAAAAAAGCCGGCTGCGGCTCAACCACAACCACCAACACGAGTCACTGCCCGGCCCTAAATAACATCAAGCCCCTGAACCCAGAGATTCTCCCACCTCCCTAAGACCCCGAAGGAGCCAACACAGAAGAACCAGGCGGGACACAGCCTTGTTAGAACAACTCAGCAAAATAAAATTCCGGTTTATTGTTGGACAACATTGTTTCACACATACATCAAACAGGCCAAAAAAATAAACAGCAACTTCATAGACAAAAAAAGGAAAAAAAGAAACCTTTTATCTTTGGCCTTTTTAACCATCTCATACAAACCAACTACTTATAGTACAGCTAAGTACATACACAAAAAAAGTTACTGGAATGCTCGGAATAAGATTGTTTTTTTGTTGTTGTTTTTGCTTTTTTTACAAGGTTTTTTTTCTCCTTTGAGATTATAATGAACATGGTCACACCACAAGTAAAGTCGGAAGTAGGACAGAACGCTCCGGAAGGCTGGTTTGGTCATCCGCGATCATCAAAACTGGCTGACCCCTAACAATATGTACAAAAATATAAAATGTAAATAAAAAATACAAACAAATTTTCCTTTTTAAAGTACTTTTAAGAAAAAAAGCAGGGCCTTGGAAGTTTTGGTTTTTCCTCCCTGTTGCAAATTCGCGTGTGGTTTCGTGGGGCGTGGAGAGCGGTGTCGTCTGCGGTGGCGCTGCCGCGGCGGCGGGCGCCTCTCTACTCGAAGGTGACCACGTTTAGATTCTGAGACGGGAAGTGGAGGGTGAACAGGTCACGGCGGCCTTTTTTAGTTTAACTTTTCCTTTTCTGCTGTCTAGTCATCCTCGTCGGTCTTCTGCTTCTTGGTGTCCACGTCGTCGTCCTGGGAGGGCAGAGGCGCGCGTGTCACCGGCCGCCCGCGCCCTCTGCCCCCCGGCCCTGGCCCCCGCGCCGCGCCCCGACCTACCTCGTCGTCCTCCGCCGCCCGCTTGCCCGTAGCTGCCTCGGCCTCCTCGTCCTCGTCCCCGTCCTCCTCCTCACCTGCAAGGACCGGGCCGGTGAGCCGCCGCCCGCCCTCCCGGGCGCCGTGCCCGCACCCCCGCTCCCGCCCCGGCCGGTACTCACCGTCGCCTTCCTCCTCTTCCTCCTCCTCCTCGCCGCCCTCCTCCTCCTCTTCGTCTACCTCGTTGTCGGCCTCCTGCTCGCCATTCTCCTCGTTCTGCACGGAACCCCGGCGTCAGCCCCGCCCGTCCCGCCCGACCCGTCCCGTCCAGCCCCGGCCGCCGCCCGCGCACTCACAGCGTTGCCGTTGGCGGGGGCGTCTCTGCCGTTCTCCGCCTCCTCCACTACCTCCTTCTTCTCCTTCAGGTCCTTGGAGGGAAGCGGGGCGCGGTTAGGCGCGGGCCGGAGCCGGCGCGGCAGAGCTGTCGCCCGGCCACCTGCGCCCG